ATCCGATTTCACGCCGCTGATGCCGCGCCACGGGCCGCCCGCCGCAGCTCAGCGCCGGAAAGCCTCGGCTCCGCCGGGCATCCCTTCCACCACCAACCCGGCCCAGGGCGTCCCCCCCCCGCCCTCCAGGGAAGCAGCCGGCACAATGCGACACTGGGCACCTTCAGGAAACGTCGCACTGGTGTTGTGAAGCACGCTGGCAAAGGTGAACATTTATACCAGTACTATAGGAAATGCTCGAACATTTTAAAATGCGAACGAGGAAAGCTTGTTTCTCCACCCATAACTCTGCATTAAGCTACCCACCCATCAGTAGTACCAGATAAAGCATTGTTAACCACTTCCCTGTAATGCTGCTACAAACTCAAGAGTCCTATAAACCACAATTCGAGATTACAGCGTGAAGCTCCTCCCTTGGGCCTCTGGGGCTGAAGCAAAGTGCCTTCACACCTGGCCACTTGGACCCCTCGCTGGCTTGAGCCATCACTGCTGGCTTCGCATCCTGCAGGGATCTTCTACAGAGCATTTCAAATCAAACCAACCTCCCTCTCAAGTGTTTGCCCTATTTTGTCAAGGAGCCTTTTCATGCTGCCCTCCTTCCTCCACATTCTTTATGCTTTATACACAACTATACAAACACAGATAATAATTCAGAAAGACAATTTGGAGTTCAACAGCTTTATTGAAACAAAGTGCAGTGAAGTTTACTTGTAAGCAAGCAGAAAGTTTAAAAACCACCCCTCAAACGCAGGACCAGGTGGAGGGTGGACTCCTTCTGGATGTTGTAGTCGGAAAGCGTGCGGCCATCTTCCAGCTGCTTGCCAGCAAAGATCAGCCTCTGCTGGTCAGGAGGAATGCCTTCCTTGTCCTGGATCTTGGCCTTGACGTTCTCAATGGTGTCGCTTGGCTCCACCTCCAGGGTGATGGTCTTCCCAGTCAAGGTCTTCACAAAGATCTGCATCCCACCACGCAGACGCAGGACCAGGTGGAGGGTGGACTCCTTCTGGATGCCTTCGTCGGAAAGCGTGCTGCCATCTTCCAGCTGCTTGCCAGCAAAGATCAGCCTCTGCTGGTCAGGAGGAATGCCTTCCTTGTCCTGGATCTTGGCCTTGGCGTTCTCAATGGTGTCGCTTGGCTCCACCGCCAGGGTAGTGGTCTTCCCAGTCAAGGTCTTCACAAAGATC